GTATTTTGGACTTTTCACCAGTGCATTGAGGCTTTCAAATATTGTAAACCCATAATCCAAATTGATGGCACGCACCTGTACGAGAAATACAAAGGTACCCTCTTGATTGCTACGTCACAGGATGGTGATGGATTCATTCTGCCTATTGTGTTTGCCATTGTTCCACCGGGTGAGAGATTGGATGATTGGTTGTGGTTTCTTAGCCAGATGCGTTTCCATGTCACACGTAGGCATGGTATCTGTCTAATATCCGATCGTCACCCCAGCATCATCAGGGCTGTGAAGGATCATGCCGGTTGGCAGCCTCCATTTGCGTATCACGTGTTTTGTCTTCGTCACATTGGAAGCAACTTCAACACTAAGTTTAGGGACGTGGAACTGAAGAAAACGCTGATGAAACTAGGTAACCTATTTACATGAATGTGTACATGTTGTATGTAATGTTGTTTATGTATAACTCATTGCAATTTGGGTTCATTTTTTGCAGGTTACATGTGTTCGAAGATTCACTTTGATTTAAGATTTCAAGAATTTGTCGACAGTAACCACAAGTAGCCTCATGGATAGATCAGATTCCCAAAGAGAAATGGTGTAGGTCTTATGATGAGGAGAGCTGAAGGTTTGGTCATATGACGACAAACCTATCTGAGTGTATCAATAAGGTCCTACGGGGTGCACGTAATTTGCCAATAACGGCATTGGTCAAGATGACGCAAAGTAGACTTGTTGAGTATTTTGTGAAGAGGCGTGAAAAGATCCAAAAAGTAAAGGACAAAGGCTGGAGAATTGCAAAAAAGGTTGAGGACTTTTTACAAAAGAATGATGAGTTAACTGTCAGTCTCTGTGTCCGTGTTTTTGATAGAGACTTGCAGTTGTTTGAAGTTGAGGATGCCTACAATCAATCTACGCATGATGCCGGCGACATTATGAGGGTTGACTTGCTAAATCGTAAATGTCAATGTGGACGGTTCACAGCTAGACGATTTCCTTGCAGTCATGTGCTAGCGGTGTGCAAGGTTGAAAAATTGAACCACTATGACTATGTCGATCCTGTGTTCTCAATTACACAAATTGAGAAGGTCTATGCTGCACATTGGTTTCCAATGGGTAATGAGTTGTTGATCCCAGAAATAGATGGTCCAACATTAATCCCAAATGCATCTTTGGTTCGTGCACAAGGAAGACCGAAGTCTTCAAGGATACAGAATGAAATGGATTGGGTTGAGTCCCAACCCACAAGGAGTCAAACTAGATGCAGCACCTGCAAGCAAATTGGTCACAATAAACGTACATGTCCTATGAGGATTAATCCTAGCTGAAGCAATGTTGTGCATGTATTTAAGGTCTTTTGTAAGAGTTCATGTAATTTTTGTAAGACATTGTGATGTTACTTTGTGTTACTGTTTAACTCATTATGTAATTTGACATTTCATTTCTAAGTCCATTATCTAACATTGGTCCATATTGATAGATTGAAACTCATAACTAATACTAATATTACCAAAAAATGAAATCACCAAGTTTCGGGGAGCGTAAACAAATGGTTTGGGGTAATACGTACCCAATCGCATACGAATCCTGTACAATACTATTTTGTACCTGAAAGTGTGTTCCCCAAGTCATTATATGCGTGTACATTGATATTCGATCGGTTCCGTGCCAAAAAAAATCGTGCAAAACAAAATGGGGTGTCAAAACCAGTTATTTAGTCGAGCAACCCGTACTGGTTTAGTCGACTACACAGTTTAGTCGACTAAACCAGTACGGGTTGCTCGACTAAATAACTGGTTTTGACACCCCATTCTGTTTTGCACGATTTTTTTTGGCACGGAACCGATCGAATATCAATGTACACGCATATAATGACTTGGGGAACACACTTTCAGGTACAAAATAGTATTGTACAGGTTATAAACCACGAATGTACATGTACTGCATAAATGCTCCAAGTTAGGGTATCCGAAACTTGTGTTCTTATTTTAACTCTGTTAAGGTCACCTGTTCTGAATTTCATTGGACATTTTAGACCCGTTGGACTGTGATTAGACACAAATTGAAAACATGAAGGTAAAAGATATTTGTTCCTTCATTTGGTAAACAAGAAAACAGCAATAATTACGTAAACGGTTCACAACATGATGGGAACATCAAATAGTTCATTTCATAACCATAATATTACATAAGCTACAAATGTCAAATAGGAAGACCGAAGTCAATTACATAACAACATACACTAGAAACGTCAAATAGAAACATAAACCCTAAATCTAATCCTCATCCTCCTCGGACGCCGTCTCCTCGTCATCCTCATCTGACACATCAGCCCCCTGCCCTGCAACATCCTCAATCTGCTGTCCTCGTCCAAGCTCTAGACGAGCAAGCCTATCTTCAACACCCTTGAACCGTCCCTGTATATGTCTAAATCTTTCATTTCCCTTCTGCACGTGACTCTTCCTCCATTTTTTGTGTTTCAGCGCCATTTTTCCTATTCTCTTCAGCGTGGCGTTTATGCCCTTCATGACATCACGTAATGAAAACCCACCCTCAGGCTCAGCTATCTCCTGCTGGTCACCCTCATCATCATCGTCATCATCATCCTCCACCTCGGGGTCAACCATGTCTACAACTGGAGCAACATCAGGAACCTCAACATCAGCCGCACCTATGAACTGCCACACTCCTGTTTGGGGGTTCTTTGTCATCTTGCACTGCTCCAGTAGACGTTTTCCAAACTTATGATTATACCCTGTGGTCTTTTTCAAGGTCACATTACCCATGGGAACATCAAAATGCTCCAATATCCTCTGAACAAGACAAGCAAATGGAAGTGCACCCTTGTGTTCGGCCTTATACATCATCCAACACACGTAGTGCCTCCAGTTCACCGAAGTACCATGTCGGATAGCCCACATGATGGGAATGTCATGCTCCAACACCCTGGAATGATTGAACGCTCGCGGAAACAAAATGTGGGTGATGACATAGTGTAGTATGCGGGACTCCACAGTAAGCAACCCCACCGTATAGGCAATGTGTTGCCCACAGACTCTCCTCTGCTCCTGCACGGCATCACCGCGTGTATATCCTGGAAGTATGGTCCCGCTGTCTGCGTCATATTCCACAGTCTGCGCAGAATCAAAGTCATACCCCAGTAACTCCAACCATACCGGAGCCGTCATGATGATGTCCATCCCGCAGACCCTAGACCTCAGCTCACCGTGATGGTAGCTGAGATTATGGTAGAAGGCCCGTACATGCAGCTCAGAATATGAACACGACAGTTCAGCCAAGGTCCTAAGATGTGATTCCTCCAACCACCTCACAATGTTAAAACCTTCTTGTTCAAAAAAGGCTGTATCAAGTGATTTGGCCCCACAAATCGGTCGGTTAACAAAGTCACGGACAAAAGATTCATGAACCACCGGGTCATTCTCGAACAAGTATCCGAATGGGAGGTCCACAGCAGCGGGGTCTTCCTCTTGTGGCCTTGACGAAGACGGACGGTCTTGTCGTAGCTTTTGTCGTCTCTCATTTCCAGTGCTAGACGATCTTCTACGGCCAGCCATGGGAACAACTGTACCTACAATGCAAGTGGAAAAAAAAATCAATGAACAATAACAATATCAAAAAATTTAAAATTCAATATAAAAAACAAAAACTAATCCTAAAATAAAACAGAAATCAGAAACCCAATCCCTAACCCTAAAACAGAAACAGAAACAGAAACCCTAACCCTCAACCCTCAACCCTTACCCTAACCCTTACCCTAAACCCTACAACAGAACACAAAAACCCATTCCTAACCCTAAACACTACAACCCAAACAAAACAGCAACGTAAACCCTAACCTAACCCTAACCCTAACCCTAAGCCTAAGGCACCACATCAACCCTAACCCTCACCCTCACAACAAACTTAGCACCCTACCCCTAACCTAAATCCACAAAACCGCAAACTTAAAACCAAATGCATGAAGAAAACCAAAAAAAAAAACTAAACTTAAAACCAAATGCAAGTCAGAATACGTTACCTAAATGTCGATTTCGCAAGTGTGAACCAATGAAGCTTCAATCGCACCTTCAAGGGTTGAGATTCGGACTTGGTTGGAGAGAGGGGACAGAATGCAGCCTTTTAGTCGATTAGGGTTTGAAAATAACCCCTTTTGCGAAATGGGGGGGTTTTTAAAAAACCTGATATGCGACATTTAGTCGACTAAATAATGTTCTTAGTCGACTAAAAGTGCAAACAATTTAGTCGATTAAGGTGAGTTTTTAGTCGACTAAAATTCGCGTTTCATAATTTCTGAGTTTAGCCCATTTAGTCGATTAAAAGTGCAACTTAATCGACTAAATGGGGGCAGGATGGTGGATAGTTCTAGGGGAGGGGCAAATTGGTTATTAATTATTTAATTAGGGGCAAAAGGGTCAAAAACCCATATAATATTTGGGTTATGTTTATCTCATTTTACATGAGATAAACAACTTTCTTACACACACAAAAAGGTTGGGTCCTATCACTCTCTTTTCTCTTTCCTCTTATTTGTGGATCCCATTTGTAATTTTATTTCTATAACACGAGATAATTATTTTCCTACAACATAAGAAAAATATATCCCATAATTTTTGTACTTACAAATTTTCACGATCATGTTATTATTATTAAATTAATAATTCAATAATTCTCTTGATATCGTTTTATAACGTTAATTTTATTTTGATTTATTGATAACGAAAATAATTATATAAAAAATGAATGAAAAAATAAATTATAAATACAACCCCGTGATAATAATCCAACGTATTCAAAAATCAAATTTGTTGAATAATAATATTGCGTGGTCTAACCACATTAAAAACCGGTCTAAGTCATACAATTGTTCAACAATTCAACTACAGATCCGGTTCGGTTCGGTTCGCCATTGAACAGCTTTCGCTCCGCTCAATCAGATTCGCCGCAATCGCAACTAATTAGATAGTGGGTTTTTTCCTGCGAATTATTTTTCACAGGTTGTGGGGTGTTCGATTTCTTCATCAAAATCCAATTTTTATTTTGAAATTTCAATTTTTTTTTCCTTCTTATTTTTCAATCAAGCAATGGGTGATGATGCTGCTGATGTACCATTTTTGGAGCACCCCATATCAGAAGACACCCTTCAGTTACTCTTTGGTGCTTCCAACTCCTCTAACTTGGAAAATTCCTTAGAGATTCTCATTCAGAATTCAAAATCTGATTTTGGGCGTTTGGACCTTGCTTCCAAAAGGGTTCTCCCTGCAGTGCTCAATATAGTTCAGTCACTGACTCATGCTTTTCATCATCATCATCATCATCATCATCATAATCATATTCTCTCTTTGTGTTTCAAACTCCTCAGAAACTTGTGTGCTGGGGAAGTTGCAAACCAGAACTCGTTTCTTGAGCTTAATGGGGTTGTTGTTGTTTCAAGTGTTTTGAGGTCAGAGGCTGGTTCTTCAGGCCCTGATCATGGGTTGGTTCGTTGGGGTCTGCAGGTTCTGGCTAATGTTTCTTTGGCTGGGAAAGAGCATCAGCGTGCTATTTGGGAAGAGCTCTACCCGGTTGGGTTTGTGTCTCTTGCTGGACTTGGCACCAAGGAGACTTGTGATCCATTGTGTATGGTGATTTATACATGTTGTGATGGAAACCCTGAATGGTTTAGAAAGCTGTCCAATGATGATGGCTGGCCTGTAATGGCAGAAATTGTGAGAACTGCTTCTTCAGGTTAGTGAGTTGTTTTATGTATTTGCTTTAGTGCTTTCTAGGCTGTCATTGTGGGTCATGAGGGTTTTTAAGATGTAGCAATGATTTTATTAATTTATTTATTTATTTTCTTTCGTTATTCATTGGTTTATTCTTTTTTGCTTGTGATTCTATCCCTTGATTTAAATGGCCTTATAGAAAATTTGGTTTTTGACAAAACACAGTGGCATTGTGTGATTTATGTAGCCTACACCTAGGGGACAATGTTGGTGGTGGTGGTGGCGGCGGCGGCGCTGCTTGTTGCTTGTGTACTTTTCTGTGTGTCTGTTGTCATGAGTGTCACATAGGGTTAGGATGATTTTTAACTTATGACACTGATGCCTTCTTCTTCTTTTTCCCTTTCTTTTCTTGTCTCTTTTCTTATTCATTGGTTGCTACTGAACCAGCTAGTTTTGGTGAGGATTGGTTGAAGTTACTCCTTTCAAGAATCTGCCTTGAAGAATCTCAATTGACTGTGTTGTTTTCTAAATTACGGTTTATGGATGTTCCTAAGGGTGAAGATACTGAGTTAATAGATGATCAGTTTTCATCTGAACAAGCATTTCTTCTGCGGATCCTATCCGATATCATGAATGAGCGGATCAGAGATGTTACTGTTTCGAAGGATGTTGCGTTGTTTGTTTTTGGAATATTCAAGAAGTCTATTGGGGTTCTTGACCATGCAACGAGAGGAAAGTCTGGTCTTCCTAGTGGCTCTGCTGCAGTTGATGTTCTTGGCTACTCTCTTACTATATTGAGGGACATTTGTGCGCAAGTTAGTGAGAGAGGTATTAGGGAGGATGCAAAGGATATTGTTGATGTGCTATTGTCATATGGCCTCATAGAGTTGTGTTTATCTTTGCTTGGGGATCTTGAACCTCCAGCAATAATCAGGAAAGGAATCAAACAATTTGAGAATCATGATGGTGCTAGTTGCTCCTCTAAACCATGTCCTTACAAGGGCTTTAGGCGAGACATAGTTGCACTTATTGGTAATAGTGTATATAGAAGGAAGCATGCGCAAGATGAAATCCGGCATAGGAATGCAATTCTACTGCTATTGCAGCAGTGTGTTACTGATGAAGATAATCCTTTCCTGAGAGAATGGGGCATATGGTCTGTGAGGAATTTGTTGGAGGGAAATGTAGAGAACCAAAGGGTTGTTGCTGAATTGGAGCTCCAGGGATCTGCTGATGTGCCTGAAATTGCTGCACTTGGTCTTCGAGTGGAAGTTGATCAGAGAAATAGACGAGCAAAGCTTGTAAACGTCCCATGAAGTATCACTATAATTTGACTGTATCCATACATCATTACTTGGACTTTACTAGTATGGTGTCTTCTCAAGAAAATGCATGGAGAAATTTCTCAAAAGCTGAACAGCCAAGGCAATGGTCCTTGTATGGTTCCTGTGTTTTGGACTTATAATGTTAAATTTTTGATCAGTTATAAGAATGTAAGATTAATTGATTTTATAAATTTAGGTGGAAAACCTATTCTTGAGGTAACAATGCCCCTGGTGTGGGGCCATAAATTTACAACTGCCACTTAATTCACCAATTTTAGGTTCGGATTTTTTTTTTCTCGTTTCTTTCCAAATTGAAACTGCTGTTTATATTGTCAATGGAAGCTCAAAACAAAATTCAGTTTAGAATAGAAAATTATAGTTGTCATAATAGTTTGTGATATTCCCCTGATAATACTCTTGACAATATATCAAGCAGCCTCGGATGGGGGAGGAAAAATAGCTAAAGATAAACTACAAGACACCTAATCACCAAAATCAATTAACAGAACAAAACCAAGATCATGATTTTTTGAGCATAACAAAGCAAGGATGCTGTCATATCATAGTAGGACTATGTTACAAAATATAGAGCATTCCAGGTAAAGTATACAGGCACAAATCCCAGACTGAGTTTTGGGAAGTTTTTTTCTTGGATATATATGCTAGTATGATAATCAAGAATGTGGTCGTATGTTAATCCTCTAAGAAAGGAAAAAGAATAACCTGTAACTGTTTATGACTATACATTGTATTTGTTCAACTATCATGCATTTCAAAATTGTTTAACTTCTATTTTGTAATTTACATACATCTTATCCTAATGACCAGCAGAATGTGAAAGACTCAAAGTAATCAATTCATCAAATGGTTAGATTCTCCTTCATGGCAAGAAATGATCCAACTATTTTTCCTCCCACATCAGGGAACTCTTCTTGGCCAGGAAGGGATCTAACTTTGCCTTTCCGATCAACTTCTACTGGGTATTTGAGTAGATGCCCTCTCATCTCTGTTATATCATTTGCTGAAAATTGGTTCCAGTTAACCTCACCCATTGCTCTAACCCTTCGCACACATTCAAGGCTCTCAGGTTGCAAGAAGCAGTCTTCAATGGTTCCTGTGTGTTCTGCCCAAAGTGACATCCTATATCCATGGATCTGCATGGTATAGTTTCATAAAGATTTAGAGTCAGGTTAATGGATTCCAAACATATATGCAGAAAATCAAAATCAAAATCAAACTACTATCACTTAAAATATTCTTTTTGTGTAAATTCCATATACAGTCTCTCAGGAAGAGAATATGGTCTGACTACTAGAATTAATTGCATGGTTGTAAATTTATTGATAAATAGTAGTTGACTATTAAGCATACAAAATCTCATTCAGCAACCCCAAAATAGTTGTGATGAGTGTTTTATTTCTGATGGAAGTGACTTGTCCTCTGCATTTTAAGCATTGGTTTTGATGGCATTGAGTTATACCCCTTACTTTATTCTCTCTCAATTGGAATTTAATGAAGGGAATTCGATATGATATTTTCATATGACTACTAAATATTTAATGATGTTTTGAAACCTCATCTTTTATGCTTGAAAGCCACTATAGAAACATGAAATTGGTTATATAAAAAATAAGTCAGTAAGCAAATATTAGTGGCCAGTGCTGTAGAAAAATCTCACTTGTCCATGTGGATAAGATTGCTTTCTTGCCCAAGTATGATGAGGTTGGTAGGCTCCCATTGCAATCTCACTGTCCCTCGTGCCTTCCATAGAGCGTTGGTTGATATTTGCAGACCCCAATATCACATATTCATCATCAACTATCATTCCTTTTGAATGAACATAAATCATGAAACGCCGGCTATTTCGACTAGCTGCCTGGAAATAGAGCACAGCCATACAAAAAGTTTACTAGTGCATTCACTAAATAGAGATTGCATACCATAAAAAACATTATCAAGATGTTTATAATAAATAATGTCTCAAAAATAGCTTTCAGGAAATTAAGTACAAAATATTAAGACACTTGGATAGAGCACTATCTAATATATAACAGCTTGTTACTTTCTGATTGTCAAGGAGCAGTTTACATGCTAACATATCAAACAGCTATCTAGAAGCACTTCTTTTTTTTCTTTTTTTCTCACATTGGTACAAGATGTCTAGCATTTTATATGGACTTACTTGTTTCACAATATGGGATTTATGATATAAATGGGGTATAGCAGCAGAAGAAATTTAACTGGGAAGAGGAGAACAAGGGACAAGGGGTGTTGGTAACATACTTGTGGACTATTTGCTGGGGGAGGAGATCCTGACACATTGAAATTGTCATGCATATTTATGACCTCTCGATTGCCAAGACAGAAAAAGTTCAAATAGTCTTGTGGAGAGAATGCTGCTTCAAGCCCGACCTCAACCAAAGCCTTGTATATTGTCTCATACATCATTTGCATTGTTTTATTCTGCAAAAAAATAATAATAATAATAAAATTCCAGATTAGCATATGCATTAACCAAATACTCACAGGTGCTATAGTTTTTTCCTTTGACATCAAGCAACAAAAAGTTTTGAACAACTGAGCCGTACCACTCATTTGACAGGCCATAAAGATATCTTAGTTTAAGAATAATTTAAGAGATTCCAATTTCTTTTTTCCTCCACACCTCATAGTAGTTTGGAATTACGAAATAATGATAATTAAATGAAAAATAAAAAGAAGTTATTCTAACTCTTTAAAATTATGAGGTGACAAGGATATTTTGCTTGACTATACATTATAATCTTTTTCAGTAAAATAGCCACTTGCACTAGGGAGAAAGGATTAGAGAATAAAATAGGAAAATGATCTAATATGACAATGATAGACCTGATACGAAATTTGATGTAAGAGTGAACAATTGTAATTGCCAACCAATTCAAAAGTTCAATCAAATCCTTGCCAAATATAATATTTGACTTTCATATTATAAATTGAATTTGAATCATACCTGCCAAAATAAAATCCTTTGTGTGGCAGCCCCTGTTGGAACACCCTCTGGCCACATTGGAATAACAATATACACAGCGAATCTCTCATTTGCTTTTATCTTTTCAGCAATCTTTAGAGCAATTTCCATTGGGATTAAATTATTAGCACCTGCCAAAACATGAAAATAAACATTAAAAAAAAAAAAAAGAGATCTTCAAGATAAATTTATGTGACACCTCATTAACAATGCATTTTCATCCAGTATATGATAGAGAACATAGAAAAGATACAGCTGATAGAGGCTTCTCATGAGCATCCCTATAATTTAATTTTCAATGAGCTTTTTCTGCAAACCATCAAACAATATGATATATCAGTTATTACATACTTGAGTAGCTTCCAAAGCCTTCAATGTATATAATCCACCTAGATGGCATACCTCACATCTGAAAGATTGTTTTTCTACACATAATTTGTAGGTTACTCAATTAAATTTTTGAATGATTAATTCTCCATACTGAATTCTGGCTTTGGATGATTTATCCAAACCAAAGCTGATATACCACGTTAATTTATGTTCTACAAAATCTTGAGGATAGTACCAGATGCACCTATTCAAGCATAAGCAACTGTTATGCAGAAAGAGGAGTTCCATACCAAGGTCTTTATGTTGACTCCAATTGAATGAAGACCCGATGAAATATTGATTCTCTATATAAATATAATGCTGTGCAGCACGAATGGCCTTCACATATGCTGTATGTATGCTCATGTCAATCAGCACATTCTTCCCACATACTAGGTTCTGTAAATATACAATTAACATTTTACCTTCTCATAGTACATATAATACAAGTTGGTTGAAATCTGATGAATTGAAACCAAGCATGAAAAAGAAAATTTGAAACACAAAGCTTTCATTCACCTTGCTAGTTGCTTCTTTTGGATTCTTTGGAAATCCCTTAACAGAATTCGAATCAATTGAACGAAATATCTACATTCCAAAGTAAACAGAATCAATCATTTCATTTTAGAGTAAATGAGAAAAGAATTGCTCCTAGAAAATCGAAATATCTATTCAGCATTAAATAACTAATTACCTGAACATGCCAAGCTTCAGGATCATCATCACCAACATAATGAGCATCATTCATGCCAATAACATCTGGAATTCTTTCCAGCCTAAGCAAAGCATCATCATATGAAATTTTCAACTTTTTTATACCATGAGGTTTTGAAGCTTTTAACCAGCGCTCCTCAAAGTTAGTTAAAACATCATAAGCTGCTGGACCATCAATTTTAGAATGCAAATCATGCCATGGCTCCCTTGGACAACCACCAATATTACCCTGTCATGAAATAACTCATATCATACGAATAAAGTATTCTTGTTTCAAGCAATAATATTTAGAAATTGCAGTTTATTGGTTCCTAGCTACAGATTCCACCAAGATTTAAATTGCTTGACTTCTAAACCTTATATAGCAGAACATCTCCATAAATTGTGATTTTTGTAGGCAAAAATTAGATGTGCAATTAAGGCATTTGGATAGAGATATTTTTATATTATAAGCTTATCACATGACTGGACAGTGCTAATCTTTTTATTCAATGCGTGCTGCACTGAAAATCCACACAACAACATATAATGATCAAAAATTAAATCTTCCCCATAAAAGAATGCACAAATATTTCTTGATTATGCTTTGACTTGGATTCATACATTTTGTAGTTTTTTACTTTTTTGTTTTTCCCTAAATGATTCCATTCATCCATTGCTTATCAAATAATTGATGAAAAAATATAGTTAGTCATGATCACGCGACAAAATGGAGTCTAAAATTAGAGATTACCGTGAAAGTAGGGTTGTGATAGTCATCTTTATGTATTGTCTGCAATGTCCTAAAGAGAGGATGGTGGGGAGTATCATATCGCCCATCACACAAATCAAGTCCACCGACAAATGCTACAATTTTTCTTCTGTTATTTCCAGCATCAGCATCCACAATTACAGTTTTCTGATGATGCGTATATATTGTTCCAACTTCCTGATAAGTAGAAGACAAAGAAATTCCATTTAGAACTCTGAAACCAAAATTGTAGACATGATAACTGTTGAGATATATAGTCCCACATTGGTTGTATGTGCAACTAATGTGGAGTTTATAAGGTCTTCGGCATTCCCACACTTTGAGCTAGCTTTTGGGGTGGTGTATCCCAAGGTTCTTTACATGGTATCAGAGCCTCGCCGCCCCCCACCTTCTCTTGTGGCGTTTCTTAGCACAGGTAGGCTGGGCCTGTTGCATCTTCCACTCTTCAAGCCCAATGGGCTCTTGTGTGAGGGGGCGTGTTGAGATATATAGTCCCACATTGGTTGTATGTGCAACTAATGTGGAGTCTATAAGGTCTTGGGCACTCCCACCTTTTGAGCTAGCTTTTGGGGTGGTGTATCCCAAGGTTCTTTACAATAACATATAAAGATGCTATTATTGTTCCTAAGCTGATTAAATTAGAACCTTGATGGTTTCTTTTTTACTTTACTGCACAATGTTATCAATACTGCATGCTTCTTTTAGCTACTAACTGTATCTAAGAATAAGCAGACAGCATCAACATTAAATTCTTGTAAGTTATTTGCATTGCCAGAAGTTGTATGCAAATTTGTTAATGTCATTGTATATATCATCAATACAAATACAGAATACTTCAATTGCAGATTGTATAAGAAGTCTATATTGTTTTGTTTTGTGTCATCAAACACTTATATACAGTGTAATCATAATGCTCAGGATTATGACACTAAAAATATTAGGCAAGCTACTAAATGGGATCACACTGTTAGAATATATTAAATATATTAGATTGTAATAAACCTTGGGATACACCACCCCAAAAGCTAGCTCAAAGGTGGGAGTGCCCAAGACCTTATAAAGGCCACATTAGTTGCCCACACAACCAATGTGGGACTATATATCTCAACACGCCCCCTCACACGAGAGCCCACTGGGCTTGAAGAGTGGACAATGCAACAGGCCCAGCCTACCTGTGCTAAGAAACGCCACAAGAGAAAGTGGGGGACGGCGAGGCTCTGATACCATGTAAAGAACCTTGGGATACACCACCCCAAAAGCTAGCTCAAAGGGTGGGAGTGCCCAAGACCTTATAAAGGCCACATTAGTTGCCCACACAACCAATGTGGGACTATATATCTCAACACGCCCCCTCACACGAGAGCCCACTGGGCTTGAAAAAGTGGACAATGCAACAGACCCAGCCTACCTATGCTAAGAAACACCACAAGAGAAAGTGGGGGGCGGCGAGGCTTTGATACCAACTTAATTATAAAAGAATATGTTGTGTATTGATCTAATTCAGAGGGTTACAATATATAGAGACTCTAATGGGCTTATATGAAAGGCCCAGACCTAATACAATCAGAATAATTACAGACTCTAATCATATCTAATTATATCTAATCAGACTAATCATATCTAATATATTTAATATATTCTAACACTATTAGAGGTAATGAGTGCATGATAAAACTTACACAATTGCCAAAAGAAAATAATAATCCATAAGTTTAAATCCCGCAAAGAATGACTGATTGACATCAACGAGAAACAACACTTGAGCACAATTTGTAGACAATTGAGCACGAATTAATAAAAAATATTTCAATAAGCATAGTAGTTTTCAATCCTAACCTTTTGCTTGATCCAGCTATGTCGTTTTCCAGCAATGCGAGGACAAAGCAGCACATGTACTGAAGAATGCTTGAAAAATCTTCGAGTTTCCTCATCATGAGTTGCCATGACACCATCCTGAATGTACAGTTCAAGAGTTTCACATAATTAAAACTAAAGGGAAAATCATAAATATTATATTCATATTGACTCACTTAATAATCTTAATCTTACTTGAAATAAAGTAAACATCAATGGTCAAGCATGAAAAAGTATTACAGGATAAAAGAATGGATTAGCTGGTCACTAATTTTATTTTTATTACCATCTAGACAAGGACAATAACAAGTTAATTGCAATGTTGGTGTAACTTTCAAGACAGATTTTAAGCAGAGGATCCTAGTTTAAGAATATTACGAAAAAAGTTATAATATGTCCCCAGTCCAAACATAAACAAGTTTTGAAGATATCCAGCTCTAATTTATTTAAGAGCTAAGGCCACCGTCAGCAAATGGAAGAAAAGAAACAATCTTTATCAGGAGGTATGAAACTAGTAACCAAGAAAAATATGTTGTGGAATCAATCACCCCACTTCTGATTTCATGATAACAACATGAAGCAAGGATGTGCACACGCAGAAAATTGCAGACCAAATCCTACCATCCCTTCCAAAAACAGAAACGCAAGGATATGTAACAGAAATATTATATTACTTACTGTTTTATAACCCAAAATGCTTCTTGACGTAGGATCATCCCAAATAAGGAGAAGCACTCTTACTCCTTCTTGTGACTTTGACCTCAGAAGATCACCCAAGTTATAATCTGATGCATTATCAGAAGCATCCCTTATCAACCTAACTTTGTGCCACACTGACCACCCTGTAATGTAAATCAAACGCTGAGCTTGTCTTATGGCATCAAAGATGTCAATCCAACACTGTCCATGGACATAATACAACCCATTGTCAAGCAACACATTGGGGAGGCTTCCATCTGGAATATGAGCATCTTGATATAGAGTAACAGTTCCACCTTTCCTCAAAGGAAAATATGTACCAGGAACCCCAATATATTCAGGTCCTGCTCCCACTCCTTGGTGATAAATGCTCAGTTGCTCCATTGGGATGAATTGAATGGATAGGCTCAGGACAGCACCTTGCTTACAAGGTTTCCCATTATTATTCAGGATAGGAAATGTTCCTTCAACTTTTTCCCCTGAGTATATTTGTTCAACTGGAATTGCCACAATGCCAATGAGTTGTGAACCCACCACATCACTGTCTTTAACAACAAAGTGCACTTCAGCAGCATGATGTGCAACGGGAACATAGAAATGTTGAATCCAGACAGGATTTTCACAGTTGCTAATGACAAAAGTCCTCCCAAGTACAGCATTTGATACTGAAATTGTTACATAAGGATCACTGGTAATCTTCCTATTCATAGTTCCTTCGATTTTATTGCTCACACTACCAGGTAATTTACCAAACATATCCCCCAATGTTTTGTGGAACATGTCCATATTTGGGAGATTTTTGGCTTCATGAACCCATATATCTAAATTCCCATGTAGGAGCAAAACTCTCAAGGATCCTTTATTCTGTATTGGAACAATCTGCATTCTCTGGCCATGCACTGAATTATTAAATGAGCCTGAATAATCTGAAAGCCTAGATGAATCCACCTGACCAGGGTAGGAGGATCCCCAACCCGAAAAGGAGTTATTTGAATATCCATAAAAGTCCTCTCTCTTCTGCTGTAACTTTGGAACTGAAATGGAATACATCAGTGGTTGCGCTGCAGGTGCAAGGGGTGATGCAGGAGCAGTTGGCATGTTATCAGACAACCGAACACTGCTCATAAGATCATCCAAAGGAGGGTAAGCAGAACTCTTAGAAGGCTTGGAATTATCACTACTTTGTGCTGCTACTCCACCTGTGGAGCTTGTTGTCTCCTGCCAGTAAGGGCCAGAGAAGCTATTGGCACGCAAATGCGCATCAGGAGGGTCTCCATGAGAAGAATAGGCCTCATTTTGTTGATAATAGTGATGAGATGAACCATGTTGAAAACTACCATGGTTTGAAAGGGAAGGCCTAGGAGAACCATGAGTCCCTTGAGGAGGAACATGGTAGGGATAAGGATAAGCTGGAAGAGGCTGGGGAAAGTCCAATTGGGGAGGAGGAGGGTGGTTAAATGGGGCTGAGGAGGGTGATTGAGGAGGAGGAGGAGGGTAAGAATACTTGAATGAACCAGAATTGGAGGATGATAAGGGTGATCTAGGGTAGGAATAGTTGAAGGAATGTGAAGAACTATAAGGATATGCATAAGGAACATGTGCATATGGATCAGGACCTGGAGCTATAGGCTGGTATGGTGGATGAGGGTTAGGAGGGTACACATATGGGTTTGGATAACGATATGGAGAAGAAGATGACCCATAATTATCCATCAAATACAACAACACAAAGTTCTCACCCTTGATTAATATGTATGAAAAAGACTCAAAATTTTGATTTTCAATACAAAAGGGTCATAGAATAACATCAAATTGGAATCATTCAAACAAGAATCATGTCAATTGGATTTGAAATGATACAAAACATGATAATTGAAGGATGATAATTGAGATTAATCACATACTATCCATGGAAATTTTGGAAGATTGAAATGATATCAATGGTGGGGGCTCAATCAAATGAAGAAACTGAGCACAAAGATTAGATTTTTACCTCTTTTTATTTTTCATTTTTCTCCATGAAGCTATAAAGAAGTTGAAGAACAAGATTCAAGGGGAAGAAGAAGAGAGATAGAAGAAGTAGTGCCCCTCTCTCTCTCTCTCTCTCTCTCTCTCTCTCTCTCTCTCTCTCTCTAACTACCGTGTCAGGAGTTATGACGTGGACGTTGACGTGGACAAAGTCGTCGTGGAACACCGGCATGACAGGTTACCCAATGTTTCAGCTTTTCCCTTTTCAGTTGTGTAATGATACCGGTGCAATCAGTTCTCCATCACGTGGACAAACTGGATTGGATATTATGTGCCATAACCCCCTGAGGGGGAACAAATTCTCAATGTTCTCGAAGAACTCCCACAGTGACAACAATACCGAACAAGAATTTTGTGCAGCTAGTCATAATTTTTTGGATTAGTCATCCTCTTTGTAAATATTTTGTGGGATAGGTTATTTCACCGGAACAGACCATTTTATCATTGTTCACCAAAATATTTATCAGAGTATTACGTCAACGGTAAAAATTTTCAAAATGTCACGTAGCATAATTCGTTACGATTGATAGTAAATTATGTTCGTCAATAATTTTGTGATACGAGGCACACTTTTGCAGGAAAAAACTGACATATCATAATTCGCTACCTGTAAGAACTCGCACAATTAATTTAGGAAATTAATTAAATAAATATGAGAATTATGAAATAATTCCATAATTGACCTTAATAATTATGAGAAGGTTTAGATAATTATGGTAAGTGATTAAGAATGCTAAAAGTCATTTTTTTGACGAAAAGTGCAGATACCGGTTCTGCCTCACGGTTTAAATGCGTATCGATGAAGTATCCTGGAAAATTATGAAAAGTATGTATATGTCACTAGAAAAATATATAAGACTGGCATAACAAGTTTGGAGTTAAAATAATGAGAACTGGTGTCAGAACTGATACTGACTATGTAAAAACGCGTACCGGAAAAGTGCTGCGAAAAAAAATAAAAATATGACAAATCTTAGAAAAAAATAAGTAGGTTCAGATTTCAAAGTTTGAGATTAAAATGCTAAGCGTAGCTATTAGCGCTAATACAATGCGATTAAAACTAATTTGACTATATATAGGTGGGCACAAGTTTCTAGGTCAGAAAGTTAACATTCTCTACGTGAGAATTCTCTGAGTTTGAGCTGCCACCCTTGCCACCACCTCTCCTCCATCTCTTGTGAGTCAAGTTGTCACCTTTCTTCTTGTAATCTTCACCAAAATACATTGGCCTTGTAATATCCCATATTTTCTTTTAATAAAATAATAATAATAATAATATAATAATAAATATTTTTGGATAATAATGATATTTAGTATTTTTGTAATTAATAATATTGGTATTTAATATTTTTAATTAATGAGTTAATAATAGTTATATTAATAAGAGGTAAGATAATAATAGTAATATTATTTGATTTATGTGATAATATATAATTATATATATATATTAGATGATAAAATATGATTAATTGATTTATTAATTGATTGATGATTTATGTATTTATGTTGGATTAGTAAATTGTTTAGATATGATGAGTCAACAAACAAAAATTGTTTAGATATAATGAGTCAACAAACAAAAATTGTTTAGATATGATGAGCCAACAAACATAAATTTGTTTAGATATGATGAGTCAACAAACATAAATTGTTTAGATATGATGAGTCAGCATTGAGTCAGTAATGTGTAAGCCCTAAACTTCAACTATAAATAGAGGTCTAGCCTAACCAAACCAATTCACTCTTTAACATTTCTCCTCTACTATTCTCTCTTCTTAGTTCAAAAACTTAGTTTAATTTATTTTATATTCTTCTGATTACCAACCGGTTCTCTGCCCCAAATTACTCTTTTCTTCTAGAAGTTAGCGAAAACGGAGATCAGGTAATCTTAATCTCTAGGTGGTTGTAGATTTGTTGTGTATGAAATTTTATTGGGTGTCCTATTATCCAGGTAGTTATATGTTTGATATATGTAATCTCAATCCCTAGGAAAATTTTAGGATGTTTTCATATATTATATGTAACTCTTAGGGTATTTAAATTAAATTATTTTAATCTCTAGAAATTAATTGGATTAATTATTACATTTTGGCTTTACTCTAATAGATGTGAATATTTGAATTATGATTTGGAAAAATTATGATATGATGATTGGATTTAGATTTTACTCTTTGAATTCTGATTTCGAAAATTATGATATAATGATTGGATTCGAGTTTTACTCTGTTATATGTTGAATATGAAAATTATGATATAATGATTGGATTCGAGTTTTACTCTGTTATATGTTGAATATGAAAATTATGATATTCTTGGATAATGGATTTGAAAATTATGATGGATTAGAAAATTATGATATTCTTGGATAATGGATTTGGAAATTATGATGGATTTGGAAATTATGATATTCTTGAAAAAATGAATTTGGAAATCATACTCTTGATTAAATTGATGTGGAAATCATGAAAACTATTTGACAATTATGAGAATCGTGACAAGATTGAATTGATTGTATGTGATTGAATAAATTAATAGTGGGAGGATAGCTTTGGGATGGTACCTCCCAAGGTGATGAACACAATTTTTGGGCTTTATGCCTCCGATGTGAAACTGATGTGAAAAAGATTATATCCGTTCTTTCCAAAGTGGTGTCTGGCAGGGTTTCCCGGGATACTAGTAGCAACTTTGGGAAGAGGTGTGCACACTTGGAAGATGTGAATTGATTATGGCCAATGTGATTTGTTTGTGACTGGCAGGGTTTCCCGGGTCTACCATGGTTCTCTTCCCACTAAATATAATGAACTTAAACATTATTAATAATGAAATTTGTTATTTGATTTAATTATGAAGAATGTCATTGAGTTGTGAATATTATCATATTATGACTAATGTTGTGCTAAATATATTAGTTGATAATTACCAAATACATTAAATGAACTTAATAAAGATAAATATTATATAATGGAATTTTGATTATTATATTGATATTTGATTTGATTAATGTGGAATTGATTTGAACACTATTTGATATTTGATTTAATTTGTTATTACTCACATTAATTGTATTTTGATTAGGATTACCAGCTTTGCTGACTTTTGTGTTTGTTTGACTGCAATGATCCTGCGGCTGCGGGGGAGCAGATTTTCAGTGAAGCATGTTGCAAAGGATGGGGCTAGCTGTGGACAGTGAGGATCACGACTCGGGTATTTCAAGCTAGTTTCTAAGTTTAGAAATTTATGAGATTTAAATAAATGCATAAGACATATTTCCTTTATTTAAACTTTAGTCTTTGGTTTTATTTTAATGTAATAAATTTAGCCTTGCACCTGTTCATTGTACAGGTGCGGCGGTAACATTCCCCAAATTAGATTTTGATTAGCTTCCGCAATATTTCTATTATTATAATTGTGAAAAAAATGAATTTTGACAATTTATTTATTATAAGATTGTTTTATAAATTGTTAGAAATTTGGGGTGTTACATGCCTTGTGTGAGCTTGCTTGGTGAGTGAGGGAAACACTCCATTTCTGAGTTTAAGCTACTGTGTGTGAGGTGTGGGAGCTGACCTTGTTGGTTTGGGTGGTAGGGAGCTTTTGTTCCTAGCTTGTGTGGCTTCTAGGAGCCATCTTTGTTCGGAAAGGACCTTACTTTGATGTCATTTTCGTTTCCTTGCAAGTTTGAACCTTTGGAGCTGTTGTGAGAGCTCCAAGACCCATTGTAGCTCTGTTTTGGTGCTTGGGGTAAGTTGTTGAACCTTGATCATGAGTTTTTCTTGTTTAAAGGTTGAGTCCTGGCTTGTTAATGAGTTAAATAAGTAACCAACGTGATAACTGAACTAAAAGGGTTTAAAGATGCATGCTTGAATGTTTTAATGGGTTAAAAACCGAACCTTTGGAGTGATATATCGCGAAATGTAGAAACTGTATTCTGTCACGAAATATCCGGATATGATAATTGGATATTGATATCTGGATATGATATCCGGATATGGGGTCTTGTGATATCCGGATATGATATCCGGATATGGCCTCGACATATATCCGGATATTCTGGGTTTTCGAGGACAGTGAGGGTATTGTTCATACAAATTAACATTTTGGGTTTGTGGACCCATGTTTGGTCAATGTGAACTTCTGTAATAACTAAACTAAGTTAGAATCTAAGTGATTAAAGGTGTTAATCAGTTAGATAACTAAAAGAAAAAGATATTTTGCATTTTTAATTAAGTGTGCCTTTATACGATGACATGATAACAAACCGAGTATACACAGGGTGTTACACTACTAGTGGTAGCGAATTTGATCTACAATATGGCCACGTGTCATGAAATAATTGATCACAAAATTCGCTACTAGTGGTAGCAAATTATGACACGTGACAGTCTGGTAAAAAATACTGTTTGCCTGACATTTAGATAAAAAATTTGTCAAAAAATGACATTTTCGTCACTGTTCCTATTCTACTGATCTATTTTTCTGTCCACATTTGCCTATTAATTTAAAACATCGTTAATTCATAATCTCAACTAATTTTTATGTTTCTCTTTCTTCTTGAGATTCTAATCTAACGAGATAATTATTCCTATATTTTGTAACCAAAAAAATAAAAACAGAAATATGACACATTTTTATGTTTATATACAAAGAAATAATTATCTTATGTTGCATAAAATAATTATTTTATTTATGCAATAGAGACAAGATAATGGAGTCTACTTAAAAAAAAAATTATGTTTATATATAAGAAAATAATTATCTTATGTTGCATAAAATAATTATTTTATTTATGCAATAGAGACAAGATAATGGGGTCTATATTTAAAAAAAATAAAGATAATAGACCCTAGTATCTTATCTCTTATATATATATATATATATATATATATATATATATATATATATATATATATATAATTTGTTCAACTCACATGAAATGGTAGAGGAACTACTTCTTTGGTGGTTGATGGAGGCTTCTTGCCGTTTGTTGATGGACAGACAGGTAACGCCTAACGGTGTATCCTTGAGGGTTTGGTGGGCCACTGCACCTATATATGGGTAATTAAGGTGGATCTCATCTCAAATTTTGTGTATTTATATCACTATTTTTAGAGAAAAATAGAAACAAAATTTTTATATAACAACATCACCTGAAATTTTAACGTTGAGAGTGAATTATCTTATGTATTATTTTAATATAATTATATCATGGTCTTTTATACATACGTCAACAATGAGTAATTAAAGTGATAATTTTCACTTTCTTATTTTATGAATTTATTTATTAAAATTTTGATCATTGATCATTGATGTGTAAATTGATTTTGTAATCCACTCCCATAAGTAAACAATTTATTTTTTGCATGTGAATCCAATCCATCGTAAGGGGATCGGACCTACATAGTCCAAATCAACTTATGGTGAAAGCTTTGCCATGTGATGAGACTTGCAACCACTTTTAAGAGATATGGGATGTGAATGTGACTATGTTAGTGTGGCTGGGTATACACAAACTATTCCACTTTTGTTACATTTTTTATTATGTAATTTATTAGGAAATATACACAAATTGTTTCATTCAACGTATTAAAAAGTGAGTAAAACTCACTTATTTTCATTTTCTTACTTCTTCATAGTAGATTTCATCTTCTTCTTTTTTTTTTCCATGAGACAATTTATCATGTAATAATTGAATTTTCTACAACAAATGAGGACTCACTTATTAAATGAGAAACAATATCCCCAAGTTATTATAGTGTTTAGTATAAAATTAAGTCTTACAACAAATTAATTGTTAAAAAGAGATTTGAATCTTGAAAATGATTTTGGAACTAGAGTTAAATAATTGTCATATCGCTGGATTCAGGATTATTCTCATATATGTGTGGGTCCCTTTTCCAACTCAGAATGCAGAGATACTCAAAAAACTTAAATTGGCTTAGAAAAGTAATTAAATTTAGAGTCATGGAATAAAAATATATAAATTTATATTTAATTCCTAATTATTAACCATGTTATGTATTTAATTTGAAATAATGATGACTCATAAAAATATTTTCTTACACCAAGTGTGTCTCTTTATATTAATCCCGTGATTTGTTATTATTTTTAACATCAAGTGTGATATTTAAATTTATAAATTCGAATCTAGTTATTTATATAACAGTTTTAAAATAAAAGATTAAGTGCATGTTTGGTTTAGAATTTTTTTTATTTTTCGAATAAAATTTTGATTGTAAAATATTTTTGAGAAAACAAATACTAAAAAATATTTGATTAGTTCGTGGTTTCACAATTAAAGGGAGATTACAAACTTCAAAATTCAAAATTAAAAGGTTTCTGATTCACTGTATTTATTTAAGAGAAAGATTATATTGACAATTTTTTTTTTTTTTTTACAAATTTATAAACTACACTATGTTTTACCAATAAAATTTTATTCAAAAATATTTTATCAGTAAAAAATAGTATAATTTATAAACAAAATTTTTGTAAATATAATATTATTGATTATTTAATTAGTTGGGAGAAAAGGTAACAGCATTTCTAGAAGTTTTGAAACTATACATTAATTGACCTTGGCAGCTATACAGTCTATACTACTTGTTATTAATAAAGCTAACTTAGTCAATCGGATTCTCACTGTAGGAACCCATTACTTAATTATTTTTCTCCCTTAATCAAGCAACTTTATATTTGGAATGTTTTTTGGTTAGATTTTAGAATAAATTGCTTTCATTTTCCTTAAAATTTATTTTTATTAAACTTCTTTTTTTTTGAAAAGCAAACAGGAAACAGAAAAACAAAAAAAGAAACTAGGAACACCTCCTAGACCAAACTACTCCTACATAGTCCCTTTCAAGTTTGTCACGACAACCAGAAGGAGGCGAGTCAAACTCTTGTAAAGACCAATCAAAGGAGTAGGCAAAAGAGGCCATCCAATCGGCAACCCCATTCCCTTCCCTATGAATATGGGAAATTATAACCCTCCAATTCCAATCCAGCATATTCCTTATGCGCAAGACCAAGTTAGAGGCTGGATGATGAGAGCTGCACCCTTCTCTTATGAAAAACTGGGCTACTAAGGAATCACCTTCAAGCCAGACAAAACGGAAACCTTTCCTCCATGCAATCTCAAGCCCAAGGAGACAACCCCAAAGTTCTGCTAACAAAACATTACCACAGCCAAGATTTTTACAAAAGCCAACAAGCCACCTTCCACTAGCATTCCTAAATACACCCCCACAAGCAGAAGCTTCTCCATTATTCATACTTGACCCATCCACATTGAGCTTAACCCAAGGGTCCGAAGGAAAAACCCAAGAAACTAATTTCTCTTTATTCGAGTTAGTCTCAAGACCAGCAACCCGAAGCGTGTTTTCTGACCAAGAAAAATCTTCACCATAGACCATAGCAGCTCTAAAAGTGCCATAAGCAGGAACAGAAGATCCCTGAAAAATTTTCTTATTCCTAGCTTGCCAAATGAAACAGGAAATGATACCAAACAGAAGAGGCCATGATGGCAAATTGGACCAATTACGATCCTCAGAGATATTGGACAACACCCATTGCTGAAGATTAAGAGAGAAAAAATCCTCCCAAGCCTCTCGCTTAACTGCAATCTCCCACACTTTTTTTGCTGCAATACAATCTCTAACCGCATGTAAGGAAGTTTCCGTAAAACAATTGCACAGATGACATATATCTGAACCCGCCATGTGCCGTCTGCAACGCCTTTCATTTGTCAAAATTTTATCTCCTAACAACAGCCAAAGGAACGTACGAATCCGTTCAGGTCCATGCCACTGCCAAACGCGATTCCAAGGTAAATTGGTAGATTCCTCGTTACCCCTGGATATGGCCATATAAGCGGACTTCAGCGAAAAACCCCCATCAGATGTCCTTGTCCACAAAATTCGGTCATGACCATTAACATCCGAAGGAGGAAGGATGTTATTAATACGAGCATTGACGTGATCGGGAAGACTATGCTGGAAAGCCCCCCACATCCAACTTCCGGAGGATGAGACAAGATCAGAGACCATTAGCTGATGATTTATCTGAGAGGGATCAGAAATAGCAGCATAGGATGAGAGTGCACCACAACCCGGAACCCACGGGTCATCCCAAAAATGAGTAGAAGGATGATAATAAAATCAAATTATGTATTTGATTAAATAATTATGTGTGTGTATAAATTGACACATACACATTATTGGTTATATAATTTGGGATTGATGAATACACTAAGTTAAAGGATGATAATAGAATTTATGAATTCGAGTCTGAATAAAATTCATTTAATGACAAATGAAAAGTGTACAAATGGATCATTCGAAACAAGATTGAAAAATAATTAGCAACAACAATAATGTAATGGATCATCAAATAAAGTTCTCTGAATTTCAATGTTTCTCCTCTCAAATATTACCCTTTATAAAAAAAATTATTATTGCCATGTTACTGCTATAGGACTTCTAACCTTATATTTGTCAGATACCCAAATCAGTGACCCAAATGTTGAGATACCCACAGCTCTTGCTCTTCCAAGTGCAGAAAATGTCACATTGTAGCTCAATTTCTGACCCAGTTTTTCAAACTTCAATTTCCTTGGTTCAACAGTTACTGAAACTCCATTTGGTTGTTCCACTTTAACTTCATAAGCACTTTGTGATTTTCCAACATTTGTGACAACCCTTGTGTATGTCACACTAGCATGTAGAGCACTTGTGCTAAATAGAACAGAAAATGAAGGGTAGTTCAAGTCACCAGCTTGAAGAAGAGTTTTTTTAGGACATACAAAGTTACCTTTTGATAATAAAGAAATCTGGGAAGAAGTATAGTTTAGGCTGCATAAGTAATTCAAATAGTCTATGGTGCTTATATCATAGACTAACCCAGGATCAGAAGCACTTTCAGGGTTAACATGGCCTGAACCAAATGCAAAGGGGTTAGCAAAGGCTGAGTTATTTGAACCAATGTCTGAAATTGGAACTCCTTTATTGTTCAATGTGTAAGAAGTGGTCATCATAGCAGATTTGATAGCTGCAGGAGACCAATCTTTGTGCACTGATTTAAGCAGTGCTGCTATGCCACTAACATGAGGGCAAGACATTGAGGTACCTGAGACTATGTTAAACAGTGAAATTCTTTTGTCACTTATGAGCGAGCTTGGGCTAGTTTTGGGAGGCCAAGCAGCCAAGATGTTCACACCAGGTGCAGTCACATCTGGTTTAATCACATCTGGTCCTACTGCACTTGGTCCTCTAGAAGAAAATGCTGCCATTACTGGTGCAGGATCACCATAACTTGTCCCTAAAAAGGAAACTGAAGCTGTTGGTCTTTTTACTGAGTTAATGTAGCTCCTAATAACCTTACCAGCTGAAGACCCTAAGGAAGTTGCAGGCAAAATGTGAGGGTCAGCAAAAAGCTCTTCTCCTTGACTTTCAGAGTTAAGTAGTATCATTCCTGCCCCACCTGCCATTTTAACTACCTCTCCCTTTTCAGTTCTACCATTTATTCCTCTTTCACAAACCACTATTTTCCCATGCACAAGCTTTGAAACAAGTGAGCCTTTGGTGCAATACTGTGCTTCTGTTTTTGTACCTGCTGATTTGCCATATACAAGAGGCAATTGATTTGTTTGCTTGCCTTGATATAAAGATGACCCTTTAAAAGTTTTTGCATTCCCAAGCTTTACTTTTGTTGGAAAGCTTCTGTCATTGTAGCTAGCAGCAACTGTCATGATCCATGGTGCACCATTTCCAACTGTTGATTCAAAGGGGCCTGAATTACCTGCAGAGCAAGAAACAAAAACCCCATTTTGGATTGCTCCAAATGAGGCTATGGCAATACTATCACCATAATAAGGTTTGGGAATGCTCCCTAAAGAGAGTGACAATACATCAACCCCATCAGAAACTGCTTGGTCCATGGCTGCTAATATGTCAGAATTAGCACAACCAGAATGCCAGCATACTTTATAAGCTGCAATTCTTGAGGTATACCTCATTCCACTTGCAGAGCCTCTAGCCAGGCCAAAAAAGCTGGCATTTTTTACCATATCACCAGATGCAGTTGAGGCAGTGTGTGTTCCATGCCCTTGAGAATCTCTAGGGGAAAGATAATCCGTTGTTTCATTGATTTTTCCAGCAGATTTTTCATACCCCTTGAAATAGGCTCTTGCACCAATAAGCTTCTTGTTACAATTTGAGGCTGAGAACTTGGTGCCTTGTTCACAAACACCTTTCCAGTGATGGGGTACTGGGGACAAACCTGAGTCTTGGAAACTGATGTGTTCAGGCCATATCCCTGAATCAAGTACCCCAATGATCACATCTGAGGCCAAGTTAGGAGCACCCCAAAGTCCTCTTCCATTCCTTAGGCCAAGAAAATGTGGGGTGTATGTTGTGTGAAGGGTTATTAGTTCATCAGGCATGGCTGAAAGGAAACCATCCACTTGGTTCAAGTATTGAAGTTGTTTATCTGAAAGCTGGGCAGCAAAACCAAACATGCTGGTTTCATAGACATAAAGGAGCTGAGGGGCTAAAATCTCTTCTTCTTCTTCTTCTTCTTCTGTTGAAGCTTCAGAAATGAAATCAAAAACTGATTCATACCATGGTTTTGTGCTGTCTTGAGAGTGAATTGAGGCTCTAATTTTTGTCTTGTCCATGTGTACTATGTATGTCTGTTGGACCGTGAGAGCCACTGAATATGTCACCATAAAAGCCAGGAATAGGTACTGTATCATCTTAAATATCATGATGCCTGCAAAAAAATGAAGAAAGAGAAGCATCTTCGGTTATACAAAAAATCAAAATAGGAATTAAAAATAGAATACCATTTCCAAACTTCTGTAGACTATTTCTCTTTACCATTTTTTGTTATATTTTTCTTTCATAAGAGAAACGTAATTCTTAGCTACGAGTCAATCCCTAAGCATAAAATGTTGTGTACTATAGGAAAATATATAAATAAAAAGTAGTTTTGCTTGTGTATGTGTAAATAACACTAGGCAAACTATGCAGTGCAGTGAGATAGAGATTCGAGATAGACAGTGGTAGTGGTCTGTACCTATGCTGGTGTTAGCACAAGAGCATGAGAGAAAAAAGTTTATGGTATAAGACTATAAGGAATGCTAATAAACTCCTCACATCAAATCTTAAATAAGCACAAAAAGTTGAAAGCTTTTAACTTTTTATACATGCTCATTGCTATTAAAGAAAAGGATTTACCTTCTCTTTACTTGTCTTCTACTTCACGACTGCAAGCTTTCAATTAGATGACAGCAATACAAATATATATATATATGTACACAGACACACACAAAAATTGAATAAAAAAAATCTTTCTCCAATCTGTATCAAATTATATCAATCACTACTAAAGTTGTTTCCAGTTTTACTTTTGGCACTCCTATTCCGTTTTATGATGACATTTGTAATCATAAGATTGCTTAGACTAGAGTAAGCCTAGAAGATTAATTAGAATATTGAAGTATCACTTGAGACAGTTATGTCATACTTCGTTTGGCTTATCATGTGAAAATTTATGTGTATTTTGAAGTTTATCTACTGAGGAGATTATGTAAGGAAATAAAGCTGCACCTTTGCCATTAGCTATAATTTTTTTACTTGGCAGTAAACCTTTGATCATAGACTAATTATGACACTCATAAATGTGTACCTAAAACCATACACTAGTATGCATATAATAAGTAGGGACAGAATGTTGATGAACATTCATTATAGCAGTATGGGATGTTAACCGATCAAGGGGCTTCATATGACGACCTTGCCATTTGTTCCAAGTTAGTTGAGTCACATGTGAGTTTGTTTTGGGCTCAGAAGGGATGTGGGACCAAAGAGCTTTATGAGACTTGTGGGTTGGAAGATAGTGAATTGAAGTTTTCTATGTATTCCTCATTAGCATGTTCACATTTCTGTCATGGCTAGTGTATATTATTATTGCCAATGTCACAGCTAGTGTTCATAGTTTAGCTATGAAAGACCCATTGTGCACTCAATGTTTAGTGATCATTATATGGTGCCGTGAGACCTCAACCATTTGTACTTTGAGTCCAATTTAAGATACTCCTCTTTCCCCTCTCTCTGCTTTTTTTTATTTGAACTTTTCTGAGTCCATGAATTTTACCTTTACAATTTGACATAATTGAATATAGTACTACATGTGATTTTATACAAATTTATAAAGAAAGGACATTCAATAATTAATTGAATTTAAATTGAGTGATATTTAATGTAATCTTTTTGTAGTTGTAACTCAGTATTATAAATGAGAGGGATCTCAGAAACTTTTATTATAATGCAGCCTTATCCTGTGAGGGAACAAGATATTTTCACTAGAACCGGTGAACATTAATTCACCACACTTCAACTAGATCACACCAAGAAATCAAGAGTTTGAGTTAACCATTACTTAGATTAACATAAGAAAGGGATTAAGGGACAATGCTTTTAGATTATAGACCTTCTCTTCTGTGGAGCACAAGAGGCATTGTTTTGACTCAATTGATAAATCACTTTTTTAAGGTGCAATTTATCAAAAAAATAATAATAATGAAATAACTATATTTTCAAGCATAGTATCAATCTAGTGGAGTGAATCCCACACCTACCGGGCTATTTCACATTTTTGCTCCTCGTTAATTATTTAATAACTATTTTGCCCCTCATTCAAAACTATCTACCAATCTGCCCCTCTTTAATCGATTAAGCCAAAAATTTAATCAATTAAATATTCAAAATAGGCAAAAATCGTTGACTTGAAGATTTAGTCGATTAAATCTCCTTATTTAATCGATTAAATCTCTCATGCATAAGGTTGTTCTTCTGATAAAGAGGAAGATTTAATTGATTAAGTTGAAGATTTAATCGATTAAATCTTCATTTGACCATTTAATCGATTAAATATTTAATTTAGTCGATTAAAGATGGGCAGATTGGTAGATATTTTACAATAAGGGACAAAATGGTTATTAAATAATTAATGAGGGACAAAAGGGTGAAAAAGCCTACAACCACGTGTCGCAAACGATAAGGTAGAAATTTATTTTGAATAAAAATTAACCATTGTTTGAGCTGTGACTAATTTTTTTTCAAATATGGAAGGAGCAATACATGACCGTCCCGCATGGGGGCATGCCAGCTAATCCCGCATGGATAGATGTAGTGTGAAACTTACTATATTAAGAGCTTTTTTGTTTGAGAAGCGTCGGCACTTCAAAAATTCTGACGTGTCGTGTTCGATATTTTCCAACACTCTCACACACTCCGACACTCCCCGACACTTCAACACGCGTTGTAGAAATTCAAAAAAAGGTTCAAAGGTTGTATTGCATTGCGTTTTTAGTTATAACTATTAGATTCGTTGAATTACTATTGTCATTTTATTGAATTTAATATAAATATTTGATATATCTTATGTTTCTTTGCAAAATTAATGAGTATTATAAGTTTAATTTTATTTTTTTGTTAAATTATTGAATATTAAATATAATATACACAACATAAATTAAAAATATTATTCAATATCAAAACGTGTCCTAACGTGTCGAAATCTAACATTTTTTAGAACTACCGTGTCGGAGTGTCATATCGTATCGTGTCCTATGTCCCGTGTCAGTATAGGTGTTACATAGCGGATTGCAACTAACTTTTATCTCTTTTTTATTTTAAAAGTACTTTTTATAAAAATTAAATTTATATTTTCATAAAAATATTTAGTTTTTAAAAAAAAATATTTGACGTTTTACTTTTTTTTTTTATAAGCTAAAATTTTCAGCTTCTAAAAAAGTAGATTTTTAATTTATTTTTTTGTAACTTTTATTTTTTTTAATAACAAACATCCAAACGAATTAAAAATATTTTTTTCTCTAAAAAAAATTAATCCAAACGAACCCGGCAAAATCATTGGAGTTGTCGCAGAAAAACCGAGCCCATATTAAATTGATATTACGTTTAAAAACATTTGTTTAAAAAAAATATAAAAATTGCATCAGTTTGATCATTTTGCTTTGGCATGCTTTATGCACGGAGTGTGAAAGTTGGAACCTAAATTCTTAGTCAAACTTTTGTTAAGGAGAGGTTTCTTGTTGAAAGGAGGAATGCATCAATGAATGCTATACATGTGGGCTGTGGCCCATGAATGAACAACTGTTCTCATAACAAGGACGCATTCACACTAGGGGTGTTCGCAGTCTGGATTGGATCGGTTTTGGAAGAAAAAATCATCCGATCCAATCCCTTCGGTTTGATCATGTAATCATCCATTCGGTTTGAATTTTTTTTCAAATCCGATCCGATCCAATACAATTTTTTTCGGTTTGGATTAGATCGGTTTTCGTTTTTTTTAAAATTCTAAAATTTGTTTCATGATTATTGTACAAATAACATCTTTTGTATATATTGACTTTGTAATTTTATTTTTTTTAAATACAAAAGCATCATTAAACGATAATATAGTTTTTTCTTTTTTGGGCAATAAGATATGAAGCTCTACACAAATTAAATTTTGTTAATGAGATGTGACTAGACTTTTTCTTGGGTTTAATTGATGGTTAATTGATATTTGGTTTAGAAATTTTTGGGCTATGATTGAAAAAAAAACCAAGTAGGTAGAGAGAAATTAATATATTGGATCGGTTTTTATTAACCCATCCGAAAACCGATCCAATCCAATTAAAATTTGCGGTTTTTTTTCGGTTTTTGATTTTTCGGTTTTCGGTTTATTCGGTTATTGGTTTTTCGGTTCGGTTATTGCGGTTTGGATCGGTTGATGAACACCCCTAATTCACACGTTAAAATGGTTGTTGCATGCAGTAATGCCAGTGAACATTATTATTCACAAAGAAATAGAATTTCGGGTATCTCGTAATTTCTATGTTTTATTTCACTTTTGGTGTCTCATGTATCTTCCATTTATTTTTCTCTTCGAATAAGATTGAGTTAAAATAATAATAATAATAACAACGTGGATTAATGTTTTTTTATGTTGTAGGAAAGAAAATTATCTTCTACATGTATATATAAAGTGTGTAAAGCCCATATAAAGATAAGAGAAAAAAAAATTCACATACACTTTTATGTATATATAGGAAATAAAATTATCTCCTACAAATTTGAAAAATATTAATCCTGATTATTATTTTTGGTGTATGATGTCTCTTTTGTAACACCCCGTTCTAGAATCGGTTTGTTAACATCGCATTATGATATTAAGCGCAGTTACAATCACATGGGTTCAATTTAAATCCGGTTAAATTTTCCATTTTAAAACATGCCGAATTTATAATGCCCAATTGCGTGTTCATAACTATATTACATTGCGGCTTAAATGAATTAAGCTTAACATCATACTCTTATATCCTTAGACCAAAGGTTATTAAATGTCTTCTTCTAATCATTAGCTACGTGTGGCTTCGAACCGCGCCTCATTTGGAGCACCGTAGCTCGCGTTATGACAAAGTAGAGCAACAAAAGTGTATGTTGGACACAGGCCCCGCGCGCTTCAGCGCGCTACCGAGCGCTCAAGCGCGCGTTATCGGGCGCTAAAGCCTCCATCTGGGCGCTTAAGCGCACGGAGGTAGAGAGCATCAGGTCTTTCAGTGTAAATGGGCGCTTAAGCGCGCACTAGGGCGCTCAAGCGCGATATCTTGGGCGCTTCAGCCCCCATTTGGGACGTTTTAGCGCGCAGAGGCAGAAGCATCTCCTCCTTCAGTGGCTAAGGGCGCTCAAGCGCGAACCAGGGCGCTCAAGCGCGCAAACCTGGGCGCTT